GATTTAATAATTATAAAAAACTCGTGGTTATTTTCGAGTTCTGCGAAAAATTTCCCTAAAGGCAATGTAGGTCTCGTCTTTGGAAATTTTTGGTTGTAAACTAGTGTAATTAAATGCATTCAGCTTTGTGTGATGCATGGCGTATGAGTAATGCCTAATATACTTATATACTTTTTTTAAATTAATTTAGTTTATATTTATTTGCATTTAATTATTTTTCATTTATTTTTATTTTATTGATATTAAATTCAAAGTATTTTTTTTAATATTTGGTCAGTTTATTTTGTTTTAATTTATTTAATATTAATTTATTTGCATAGTTTTTTATTTTAACATCAAAATTGTAATATTTTTTAAATGTTCATGTTTTTTTTTTAATTATTTATAACTTATTTTTTTGGATGTCATTTTTTTTATAATTTTTTTTAAATTTTTATAAATATAGCAAAATTTTATGTTATATATGTTATATATTAATTAATAGCTTAAATTTTTTTTAATTTTTTTGTTATTATTTCATTTCAACTTTAAAATAACATTTCAAATAATATTTAATATTAGGTATTACATATTATTATGTTAAATATAATTTAATTTAAATAAACTTCTCATTGCACTTAATCGCTTGTAAACCGTACTCTAATACTATAATTACGTTGAAATATTTAATATGACTTAACAAAGCCAAAACCTATAATAACCAAAAACAAAAACACCAAAAGCAACAACAACAACAAAATAATTGTGATGATTATCTCACTGCCACTTAAATCTAATTAACTCATTCACAGCGAAATCTATTAATGCGCATACATATCGTTCGTTGTCACTTTAAATACTTTGACCACAAAATTCATGCAACCAAACTCAATTAACCACAACAGCAGAACCGCAACAGCGCAAAAAACAAAACCAAATGCAAAAATGTTAAAACCAAAAACAAAAAAAAAACAAAAACCAAAAACAAGAACAACAACTCAAATTATGCGCACAATTACAGAAAAAAGGTTGCCACACAAAATTTATGCACTAAAAAAATACACAAAATCCTGCGAATTGTAAATAAACGGCAAATCAAGCGTCAAATAACAAAAATCACAAAATCAACAGTTGTGCTCATCAGTGAGGGTTCCCATAAAATTATGCCAGCAGTCAACATATGTAATGCATGCAAAATTAAATACCTACATATATTAGTATAGAACACAAAACAAAAAAAACGAGAAAAAGATCATGTCCCTCTGCATATTCCAACTGACAAACACACTCCCACATCTCCTACTGACATTATGCCAATTTGCCAAACAACAAACAAAACCTTATACTCCATATGTGTGTATGTGTGTGCGTTTGTGCATGCAGTGAGCGTATGTATTATCTCGTACTAAACGTTAACAGAAAATGCATAGAAAAAAATTTAAATGGAATAGAACGTGTTGCCGCGTATAGCTTAAGCTAGAGTGCAGCTTTTTTATGCTTAAATGCAACAACAACAAGAGCAACAGCACAACAAATGCAATAAACACACAACAACAACAATTGCAATGCATATAGCCACATGCCAAACGAGTTCGTTGCGTGCATAGAAAAATGTATTAGTTTAGTAAAATATCATCATCATCATCATCATTATCATCAGCACCAACAGCATTTTTAACAGCAACAGTTTTATCAACAACATCAAAGTCATCACATGCCACAAACGATTTACATATATCAATATATTAACATGTACACACATGAATGCACAAAATATTCACACCACACTAAAAAGAAATATAAAAAAAACATAAAAAAATTAAACTACAAAAAAACATGTACAAATCACAGCAAATATGTACAAAAAACAATATTATATGTTGAAAGTAGTACATCCATTTGCATACATACTAACTAACATACATGCATGCCAACATAACATATTTAATATTAAAATTTATCACATGTAAGATGTAGGTATGCAAATATGTAAATACATTGAATAGATGCAACAGTTTGCAAAACTGACAACACTAAATGCCTCCAACTTCTCTTTGGCAACTCCAACCAAAACAGCAAATATAACAACAACAGTAACAGCAGTAACAGCAGCAAGCAAAACTGTATTTTTAGTAGCAAACGGTAAGCGCTACACACACATACTAACACATATCTAAAGCGGAGGTGTCATGCCAGAAAATTTCATATAAAAAACAAAAACAAATATTAACAGTTAAAGCATAAATACACACTCAAACAACCCGGAAACCACAAATATTTACCACAAAACAAAAAACATGTTAAAAAACATTTATATTTGCATGTATTTGTTTGAAATTGTTTAAACACATATATGTGTTAACATACGAAAGTTTATATGAACTACGCACACGTACAAATGATTCAATACTAACGCAAACAAAATTTACTAGGAGAACATGAAATAACGCAAGCAATCACCTACACTAGATGAGGTTAACTTGGCGCAATTATTGCTCTTTAAGGAACCAAAGTCAACGTCATCATCATCAACGTCAACATTAACAACAGTAGAGTTGTTATTGTACTTGTACATCTCAATGGATTCTTATATACGCACGAACACACACACATACACACAAATGCACACACTAAACAAATAAATGTATAATGTGCTGAAAGAAATAAAACTCAATTTCAACATATATACAAAAGCACAACAATACACAATGCTACACATTATTGCGTATGTATAACAACAACAAAATTCTAATTCTCCAAGCACCAATTTTGTGTACCCAAAAGAGTAACAAGTAAAAAACAAAGCTGTAAGTAAGTAAAATCATGCTAACAGCAACAATACCAACAACACCAACAATACCAACAATATGGGAATAAAATTTGAGTTTCCGTTTTGCTATCTTTCTACTGTTATTTCCTGTCAAGGTCAAGAACAAGGCAATAAGTAAGCATACCAGCCAACGACACAGCTGCGTTAGTTTATTTCCGACTCATTCTTAATGTTGATATTGTTGTTGTTGTTGTTGTCGTCATCGTCGTCGTCAAAATCAAAGTCAAGGCAATAACAACAATAATAACAGTAACAAACACGAAAACAGCAAATAACAGAAATTCAATGAAAGTATGTTGGCAGCAGCAACAGAAGTAGTAGCAGCAGCAGCAGCAGCAGCAGCAGCAGTTATCTATACAACAGCGCTGCCCAGTTAAATAAGCAACAAGCAAATAAAATAGCACTCTAAATAAAGCGGAACAAACATACTGACAAATGGTCTGGTCTGACTAACAGCCAGAAAACAACGGGCACGAAAGACAAATGTCGTAATGCAAAAGTCACATTTTTCGGGGGTTGTCATGCTTTTGGCAGACTGCTGCTTTCCACTTTCCACTTATGACTTTCCTTGATACCAACGACGCTGTTGTTGTCGTTGTTGTTGCTGCTACTTGTGATGGTGCTACTTCTGCGGTGCGCCGCCTTCAATTTAAAAAAGGTTGACTTTTCACAGTCGACATGATTTTATATTGGCATTTATTGTTTGGCGTGTCGCTGTTTAGCAATTGTTTTATTTTTCTGCTTTTCTATTTTTTTTTTTGTTTTTCTGCTCTTGAGACATGTTGTGTTGGCAACAGATAGCATTCGTTTTTTTTTTTGGTTGAATATTTGGCATTACCCGCAATCAGTGCAACAGCAGGATTCTGTCATATTTAACAGGAGTCACTGCTGAGTAATAATAATTTTAACCATTACTCCAAAAAAAAACTTATATTGATAATGTTTTTTTAAATTTTGAATTATTCAAATTATGGTTTCAGATAACAGATTTAAGAAAATAACGGAAATGATCCATATTACTATCGGTGAGAAAAACGAAATAAATACCACCTGTCTAATTTTAATTTCGAGGCAC